CGTGCAGGCCTTCCCTTTGGAGAAGTTGGCCCTGGGGGGCTGCTGTCAGGAAGCCTGGGTCCTTTCTGGCAAACAACAGGTAGCTAAGGAAAACCAGCAGGTGAGAGCCAGGGAGCCTGGCCTGGCCAGGAAGGGGGCGTAGGGAAGGTAACTCTGGGGACTAGGCAAGTATCCTGACTTAGATCTCTTTAGGTAGCAAAGGAGGTGACGCTACACCAAGCCCTACTGCGGCTGACCTAGTACCAGACCGATCTCCTGCTCACCTTCAATCAGCCCCCGTAAGGAAGGAGAATAGGTGGAAGAAAAGTGGGTGACAGGGCCTCCAGTAGAATAGGGCTGAGTGGGGCCTTGAAGGAAGTGAGAGAGAGAGAGAGGACTAGAAGTTTGGGGTCTCTGATAGTGAGGTAGTCTGGGGAACAGGAAGAGGAACTTCTGAACCGGGATGATCTCTTCTCTCCATCTGTTCCCCCAAGCCCTGACAACAGTTCATCTCTTGGCCCTGAAAATCTGTCACCCCCACCCTGGAGCCTGGGTGACTTTGAACAGCTGTTGACCAGTCTGACCCTTCATGATCCCAACATCTTTGGTCCCCAATAAAATGTAAGATGCCCAGTTATGTAAGGGAAACAAAGGGTTGGATTTGGTTCCCCTCATTCTGTCCTTCTGTGTAAACATAAGACACCTCCACTCTGCAGAAATAAACTTACTTTATAATCAATATAATCTGTGCTTTTTACTCTAACAGGACATGTGGGTTCCCCCCCCCCCAATTCCCTTTGGTCTTGGAGGGGGGCATTTAAAGCTGTGGATGGGAGCAGGGGAGGACCCAAGACCAGCAGTGCAGAGGAGGAGAAAATATCCTTTGGAGTGACTGGTTCAACCCTGAGAAAGGGGTATATAGTCTACAAGGAGTGGATAGGGAAGCCACACATTCCAGGGAGGAAAAAAGGGACACTTTCCCTTGTAATGATTCAACCCTGAGAGAAAAGATGGGGAGTGGGGTTGGTTGTCCTTTCAAAGAATGAAAGGTCACCTGGTCAGAAGTCCCCAGGACCAGTAGAGAAGTGTCCAAGGAGTGACTGTTATTTGTTGTATTTGTAGTTGAGGGAGCGCAGCTGGTCCCAGAAGAAGAGGGAGAGGATGGTGTGGGGGCCAAGGCGGAAGTAGGAGGCACCTATGCCCTTGTACATGCCAAAAATGCCCTCTGTCCGCGCTGTCTGCAGCATAGCATCCAGTATCCCCCGGTACATGAGACCCTGGGACCAGGTTGAGGAGAGAGGGAGGGAGGAAGAGCGAGGGGAAGGAGTGTGTCAGAGTCTATCATGCGCGTCACGTGCATTCACACCTGCTTCACCCTCCCCGCCCCCCGTGTCACTCCCTTACCTTGCCCGCAGCATCTGTGGGCTGGTTGTAGAGTCTTGTACTGGCGACATCAAAGGGTGTCATGGCTAAGACCACCACAATGCCACTTACCATGGCAGCCACCAGAGCCACTTTCCAGCTCTGAGAAGGAAACACCTAGTGGGGGAGGGAGGAAAAGTTTTTGTCAGTCATCCAATCTTTCAACAGCTAGGACAGGACAGGCCTTGTGCTGGGCCTAAAATAGAGTTATGGGGAGTTATAATCCACAGTTACACCACTGTGATGGCTGTGAAGGAGGAAGGGCAGGGTACCTTGAAGATTTAGGTATGCTTTCTGGAAGTGACAGCTGTCAATTGACATGAGTCTGTGACACCCACTTCCCCACCCCTATTTTTGCTCCTTCACATCTGCATGTTGGCACTGCCCCCTCTTACGGTACACCTCAGTTTGCCCCCATCCACTCCCCATTCCCAGGACAGCCCACCATTTCCCCTCAGGGCAGTACCTCCCACTGGGTAATGAGGTCCTTGGTGGATGAGAAGGTGCACAGCTGAGCAGAGGAACCGACGATAACTCGGGGCAGGCTGCCCAAGGACCCTCGCCACAACCCCACCAGACCATGTTTCTGGCCAATCTGGGTTAGTGCCTGAAACAAGCCCTGGTGGGTGGAAGACCATGGGGGTGGGGTTCAGTCATCCCAGCATCAGGAATGTCACCTCCTACCATGCCAAAAATGAGTCCTTCATAGGCATCCATTGTCTAGACAACCAGTCCACATGGGTTAGAGTTAAAAAGTGCCCCTTAGTTACCTACTACCCATTGATCCCCCTTCTTACCCACCTCCAGAATAGGGCTGAGGAGAATGGAGATTAAAGCAGGACAGGAAAAAGGAGGGGACAGGTAGGTGCAGGAGACTAGAGAGATGGGTACACACTGGAAAGGTTTGGCTGGACTCCATGGGTAGGGGGGCCCAGGCAGAGCAATCACAGGGATTGTGGCTGCCTGGTATAGGTAAAAGCTGGAGGGAAATGGGAGAGAATGGGTAGGGACAAGGTGGAAGGGTTGGGAAATCCTCACCTGATGTTTGTATTGGTGACCTACTGCGATTTCCGAGGCTGCCTGGGCCTGTAGATGTGTCTTTACCTGAGGAGAGAGAGTATCATAGCCTATGCCCCATGGCCATCTTGCCATTTCAGGAACCTAAATGCTTGACCCCTCACACTTTCTTTAGGTTGCTCAGCAAAGAATATATTCTTAATCTAATCATTATTGTTGTTCCCACTAAGCAAATTGGTCATGAGACTTTGTGTCCCTTGGCTCCCATACCAAGGGATGGTATCTTGCACAGATACCCCACCCCCTCCACATCCTCCTTCCTTTGGGAAAGGGAGTGGAGAGATTGGAGAATCAAGTCCCTCCAGATCTCATTCCCAGGCCAGATCTCTAGCAACCACGAGGACCAAGCTCCCCATCAGACTATGGGGCAGGTTTTCATGTGCAAAACTTGGCCAACCTGTCTGGTTGATTTTGGAGAGGCCACTGTCTCTGAATTTCACACCCTGGAAGTAAGATTAGCTTGCTTCCCTCCTGCAGAACAACATCTCCCAGTGTCTAGGAGCATTAGAGAGGTCCTAGTCACAATGCTGAGGGAGCTCTGGTGGCTTAGTGCATAAGGAGTTGCACTGGTAACCCAAAGGCAGGTGATTTGAATGAACCTACTGCTCTTCAGAAGAAAGAAGGGCAATCTCCCCTGCGATATATAGCCAATGACAATGAGTGAGTGAGCCCTAATGGTGGTGGTGCAGTGGTTAGGTTTGTACCCACTAGCTAGCTGTTCAATGAGAAAAAGGTGTGACTTTTTTTTAAAAACCACCTTAAGCAAAGATTATAGCCTATGAAACTCCATGAGGCATTTCCACTTATAACAATTGTATATACACACCTATGATAGAAATTAGGCAAATCTATAGCATCATGGTTGTTATTGTTGTTGTGTGATGTTGAGTCAGAATTGACCTACAGTGGGTTTTCAGAGGTAGTAAATTGCATGGGAGAAGATTGTCCTTCTTTCTTCCTCAAAGTAGTGGTTTCAAAGCATGTGCCTTCGAGCTGACAGCACAGCTCCTTACTACTAGAGCTCCCTAGAAGTACAGGAAGTTGTAGCAATAATCAGCTGTGTGACCTTGAGCTAGTCACTTTCCCTCTCTTGGCCTCAGACTCTTGGCCTTTCACCTGCACCAGATGAACTCTAAAAAGCAGACTGTCAGGCAGACTATAATTCAGCTGATCTTGGATCACCTTTGTACATTATTCACATTCCTTACCCTCCTCTACAGAAATCCACCTCTAACCATAGTATCATGAGATGATAGTAAAATAATAAAAGGACTATCAGATGTTTACTAGGTGCTATGATTTACACGTGTATCTCAATTATCTCAATCAATCCTCCTAATAATCACGTTATTGCTCAGTCAGAACTGAGTCACAGCTGACCCTCCTGCTGGTTTTCAGAGGCTGTAATCTGGAGAATGTCCATCATTCCCCCACAGAATGGTTGATGAATATGAACCACCAGAGAGGCTCTGCCTTTCAGCACATACAAGTGTTTTAAAAAAGTGACTTTACACATTGGACCTCGCCTGAGGGCAGCTCACAGGAATTAGATTGATTATATTTGTGGAAGGAGTTACTGGCAAATTAGCAGTCAAAACCAGGGCAGGTGCTGACTTCTTCCCCTTCCCCTCCCTTTTGAGGCTCTGCCTTTGGGTGAGAAGTGCAGTTCCCTATTGATTATGCCACCAGAGCTCCCGTGGCCACGTGAGGGGACTACAACTACTCCCATCTAACAGACATGACAAGTGAAGAATGACTAATTTTGAAAGTTGGGATATGAACACCAGAAAGGCTGATTCTACAGCTTAGAATCTCAATCAAAGACATCAGTTGAGTCCCCTGGGTGGTTGTGGATCAGAAGACCCCCAAACCGTTCCTGTTTTTCTTCTCTGCTTGCACTATGTTGCACCGTCACATGTACTCCCTACTGAAGGCTTAGCCCCCCACCCTGCACCACAGGGGTTTTCCCTGAAGGTCCCAGAAAGAAACCCTCTTACCATGTAGATGGGGCTTCCCAAGTACGCTCCCAGGACTCCAGCCAAGGCCCCAGCGGTGGCACTTCGGCCACGGCTGAAAGTGCCTTCTGCTGTGTGCAGGTAGCCCCCAGCCTCAGCCAGCCCATATGTGCCCAGGCGGATACCATTCATCAAGAACTGGTAGATGAGGGCAGGGGCCAGGCCCTTCTGTAGAGCCGCCAAGCCATCCACTTTGCCAATGGTGATAAAGGCATGGAAGACATTTCTGTAGTGCCGTTGATAACTGCCAGGAGCCCGCAACTCTCCCTGCAGCTGCATCCTGGTCTTCACCACCTCCAGGGGATTGGTGAACACACATGCTCCGCAGGCTGCCAGGCCACTCAGCAAAAAGTCCATGGTGGGGTAGTAGTGGTGGTGGGAACTGGTCCAAAGGGTTAAGAGTGAAAAAGAGCTTCAGAAGCGGGGTGGGAAGAACCCTCAGGCAGTACAGACTGCAAAAAGTAGAAATTTTGGTGCCTGGAGTCAAGCGTGCCAATCAAATGTCAAGAGGTTGGTTAAGGGTTAGTCAAAGTTTACGGATCAGGAGGAGGCAACAAGGGGAGAAAAGGAGCTTTGGGGGCGTAATGAGATGGCTGTAGTTGGTCAAGGGGCGTGAGGCCAAAGAGGAGCAGAGCCAGGAAGCAGCAGGTGGATGCTCAGGACCAAGAGACAGGAGTAGGGTTGGGAACTACGGAGTTGGGAAATGGGAGAAAGGGGGTGGAAAGAAAAAGCAACTCAACAGTTTAAGGAGAAAAAGGACCCGGAAAAGAATCCGGTTGAGTCCCTGAGGCAGCAAGGAGATCTAAGTCCGGGAAGGAAGTCCAGGCGGCGGCCAGGTATGAGCGTCCTTAGGCAGCTGCTGGCGTTCCAGCAGCACCTGTAGTAGCTGGCCGAGGCTGGGCCGCCACACTCCGGTCACTGGAGCGCGGCGTCCAATGTGGAGCCTCAGAGAGCCACAGCCTAGAGTCTCAGCCAATCAGTGCTGAGCCGGCTGCACAGCCAATGGGAGGTGCCTCGGCGAGCCGGCTTCGGGAGTCGGTGGGGAGGTTGTTGTAGTTAACTCTCGCGGCCCCAGACCCAGGCGTGGCCTGCCGGTTTTCCGGTACCGTGGGGCGGTCTGTCCCGCACTCGCGGAGGTTTCTTCTTGGGCCAGGAAAGGATGGTTGGACCCCAGGGTACTAGGCGGGCGCAGCACCTCATATTTCAACGTACTTCTCCCTTCAGCTTTCCACCCAGGTTTATGACTGGGGTGGCCTAACTCTTGAGATTCCTGCTCTACTCGCCTCCAGCATCTTGAAAGCCTGGAACCTGCGCCGCGGCAGCGACAGGAGATGGGACGTACTTACTGGACAGGATATTTCTTTTTTAATTTTATTTATTTATTATTTTAGGACAGGGTATTTCTAAGGAGGAATGATAAATGTGTGTAGGTTCTAGTGTCATGAGGATGTGGGCGGGAAGAAGGAGACTTTAAGTATGGCCAGGGAGCACGGTTAAAGCGCTAAGCTCTTCTGATTCTCACAGCTGCTGGGAGGGGAGGCCAGAGCAAGCCAAGACAAGGATTTTTATCCCCTTTTTTTAGGGAGCTCTCTTGGTTCTCCGTGGTTCGAATACACCAGTGCCTCCATGGGAGAAGGACGGGAAGTCTTCTTTTGCACAATTTACAGCCTCTGAAAACCCCATGAAGGGTTAGGTATGGGTTGGTTCCAGTTTGAGGCTCTCTGGTGACCTGATGGTAAGAAGCTACACTGCAGCCCCAAAGGCACGTGATCGAATCCACCAGCTGCTCCGCAGGAGAAGTATGGGCCTCTGCTTCGATTTACTGCCTCTGAAAACCCGCTAGAAGATCATAGCTATGAGTCGATTCTGACTCGACCGCACACAGCAGCAGCTACTAGCTGAAAGGTTGGCTGTTCTAGTCCCCTAGCTGCTCGCAGTCTCTTCAGAAATCTGATGGAAAGTCACCATGGGTTGGAATCAAGTTGGTTGGCATGAATTTTGGAGGTCTTTTTTTTTTTTTTGTTAACCTAAAAGATGGTGTATTAATGATGATGAGGATGATACAGGATAGGATAGAGTTCAGGTCTGTTGCCCATAAGCTTGCTATGAGTTGTACAGCACCTAACAATAACAACAAAGATTGGTGATTTGAACCTACCCAACAGCATCTCGGGAGAAAGGCCTAGACATGTGTCCCTATAGATTCCAGCCAAGGAAACTCTGTGGGGCAATTATGCTCTAACACGTGGGGTCAGCATGAGCCAGAATCCACTTGATGGCAACAGGGATTTTTAATAGCTGGCATTAGATCACACATGATCAGCAAATGGTGAGAAGAATCCTGAGATTCTAGACTCCTGTTGTTACTGATGAGTCTAGACAGGAATAATCATAAAACTTACAAGAAAAGAGACTAAGGAAGCTAGCTGGCAAGGGATTGAGAGAAATGCTTGGAGAAAAAAAGAAAAGGGACGAGGGAGTGTTACATGGGGCAAGAAGAGGCAGAGGACCAGCCTATTCGAGAGGAAGCTGTCACACTTAAAGCATTATTTGAATTTGTTTCTTCACAATGTGACTTGAGGCAGGTTGCTTGGCATCTGAGAACCATCTCTGAAATAGGAATGTAGGATCTATTGCACATGCCTGAGTGAAAACAGTTTGATTGTATTGTACTACCTTTTTTCTCAGTGCATTTGGATTTGTGGAGACCCCATGTATTCTGGGGTAGAACTTTACTCCACAGACTTAAGTGTCTAAGGACTGCTAGGTCTGTCCTCTGTGTACTGTAGGGTGGATTCCCATAGTTTAACCAGAGGACAAACCATTTGTACACAATCCCCTCACCCCCAGGGCATTAAATGATCAAGTTTCCTGAAAAGTCAAGAGCTATTAATTAGACCTCTTGTGTCCTATGAATCCTGTTCCCACTGCCTGCAGTGCCCTTCCCCCTTTTTTCAGTACTGTCCAAATAATTCTCCTTTTGCATAATGTAGAGCGACATCATGACAGAGTCTGCCTAAATAAAAGCAGATGGTTTACTGAAGGTTAGAGACTGCATAAGGGAAAATGCAGTCTTTTGTCACAGTGAAAATGCTCACTGCTGGATAACCAAAAAAATGATACATTGTTATGTTGTTGGAACAAGAACTAAAGACTTAAAAAAATTCACAATTGGCTAAGAGAAAACTTGGAAGTGATAGATCCTTAACTCATAAGTGAGCTCACATGATTGGTGAAAAGTTCATTCAATTCCGTTTATTACAGGGTGGTCCCAGGACAATGACAGGGATAGTTTTTTTCTGATAGCCTGTCAACATCTTTGGTACCAGAAGTCAATAAACAAAAGATGTGTCACCTTGGAAAGATCTGTCAGAAACTTCTCCAGAGTGGTAAACAGCAATGATGTCAGTTTGAAAACTGAGGTGTGCGTGATCCAAGCCATGGTCTTTTCAACCACTTGCTACGAGTCTGAAAATTGACAATGAGTAAGGATGACATAAGAAGAATCGATTCCTTCAAGTTGTAAAGCTGGAGAAGAATCCTGAACAGATATTCCATGGACTGCCAAAGGAACAAACAAGTCTGTCTTGAAGAAAGTGAAACCAGAGTGCTCCTTGGAAGCAAGGATGGTGAAACTTCACCTCATCTACTTTGGTCATATTTTTAGGAGGAGCTTGAAGCTCAACATCAAGAAGACAAAGATTTTTACCACTGAGCCAATTGACGTGTCATGATAGATGGAGAGGAGATTGAGATTAACAACTTCAGCTTGCTTGGTTCCAGCAGTTAGGAAGTCAAAAGATGAATTGCATTGGGAAAATCTGCTGTCAGGGACTGCTCTAGTATGCTAAAGAGCAACGATGTCAGCCTGGAGACTAAGGTGTGCCCAATCGAGGCCGTGGTCTTTGCAATTACTTGCTACTCATCAGAGAGATGGAAAATGACAAAAGATGATAGAAGAAGGATTGATGCTTTTGAGTTGTGGTGCTGGAGAAGAGTGTGGAACATTCCATGAAATGCAAAGAGGACATATAGGTTTGTCCTGGAGAGGGTGAAACTAAGTTGCTCCTTAGAGGTGAGGATTCTGAAGCTCCGTCTCACATACTTTGGGCATATTGCCAAGGAGAGACCAGTCCTTGGAGAAGGACATCATGCTTGGAAGGGTGGAGAGACAGTACAAGAGGGGAGGACCCTGGATGAGATGGACTGACAAAGCAACTGAGATGATGGGGTTAGGTGTATCAGAGACAGGGTGGCTCAGGATAGAGCAGGGTTCAGAGCTGTTGTGCATAGGGTCACTATGAGGTGCACGTGACTGGATGGCACATAACAACAATTCCTTGGAGAGGGAAATCATGTTTGTGAAGGTGAATGGATCAGTGAGAGTGAAAGACCTTCAATAAGATGGATAAACATAGTGACTGTAGCAATGGGTTCAAGTATTTCTGAGATGGTTAAGGATGGCACAGGATAGGGCAGGGGTCAGATCTATTGTCAGTAGGGTTTCTCTGAGTCACAGTCAACTCAGCAGCATACAATAACAATAATTAGTAATATAATGGTTATGTGGTCTGTGGGGAGTTATGCTGCTGATCCAAAGACGGCGTCTCTGTGGTGGTATAAAACTCAGCTCCTCTGGGGGGAAAGACAGGAATTCTCCTGTGCAATTTAAACCTCTGAAAACCTGCTGGAAGGTCAGCTATAACCTGGTTCTGACTCCATGACAATGAGTATTGTTGATGTTAGGTGTCGAATTGAGTACAACTTATAGTGATCCTATGAACAAAAGATCTGAACCTGTTCTTTCCTGCACCATTCTCACACTTGCTGACAAACCAGAGCCCATTGCAACAGTCCCTGTGTCAATATACCTGGTTGAGGGTCTTTCTCCCCTTTGCCGACTCCACCCTTCCCAGCATCATGACCTCCAAGGAATAGCCCCTTCTAGCAACATGCCCAAAGTATGTGGGGTTTAGCCTCACCATTCTTGCCTCCAAAGGGCACTCCAGCTACAACCTCTCCAAGATATACCTGTTTGTTCTTTTGGCCGCCCATGGGATGTTCAGTGTTCTTCCCCAACACCACAGCTCAAAACAATAAATTCCTTTTCTGTCATCCTTATTCATCCTTATCTAGCTCACAGATGTATAGCAAGTAATTGGAAATATTATGGCCTGAATCAGATGCACCTTAGTCCTCAAACTGTCATCACTACTCCTCAATAATTTGGAGAGGTCCCTAACTGCAGATTTCCCCAGTACAGTGCATCTCCTTATTTCCTGACTTCTCGTATCAAGGGTGTTAATTGTGGATCCAACAAAGATGAAGCTGCTGACAGTTTCAATTCCTCTCCATCCATCATGATGCTGCCTGTCAGTCCAGTGGTAAGAATCTTTATTTTCTTGACAGTGAGATGCAATCTATACTGAAGGCTGCATTCCTTGATATTCTGCAACAAGTGTTTCAAGTCCTCCTCACTTTTGGCAAGCAAGGTTGTGTCATCTGCATAACACAGGTTATTGATGAGCCTCCTTCCAGTCCCAATGCCACACTCCTCTTCATGCAGTCCAACCTCTCAGATAATTTGCTCAGCATACAGATTGGATAGGTATGGAGAGAGAATACAACCCTGATGCACTTCCTTTTCAATTTTCAACCATGCAGTATTCCCCTGCTGTCTAGGTTCTGCATGGGCACAATTAGGTGCTCTGGGATTCCCATTCTTGTCAGTTAGCCACAACTTGCTATGATCCACACAGGCAAAGGCCCTTGCATAGCCAATAAAAAACAAATAGACATTCCTCTGGTATTCTTTATTTTTAGCCAGAATGCATCTGATATCAGCAATGATGTCCCTGGTGCCTGATATTACTAATATACAAATTCCAGTGGCACAGCCTGTGGTGAGTTGCCTGTGTTTTCAAAGACAGCATCTTCAGTGGTTTGAACTGAATCAGTTGCTCTGTTATGATTCACAGGCTTGGACACTTGATGGAAAGTGTCACTCCAAGTGAGTGAGTTAGTAATATTACTTCCTGAATTATGTCTTTCTGGAGGGCCATTGTAAAGATTAATCAATAATGTATCTCAAGACCATTTGAAGGGACATGTTTTGGCATTTTGCGTTTTGTCAACATATCTCTTGTTGTACAAACCTATCTCTTTGGGAATAGATTAGATACTGCATAAAGAGAGGTGGCAGCATGAGATAGCCACATCCGACCTCTACTAACTGCGGAAGGGAGAACTGTTGCCATCAACAACATTTACAGTATAAAACTGATTTCCATGAAGTCAGATATGTCTCCCACCCGCCTGCACCTGCTTCTACCAACCAGGGCTGTCACTGCTGTACTTCTGGTTTTGAAATACTTTGCAATGGCCTCACAGAACTATATTTACAGTTATAGGATTTATTAGGGAATTTAACAAGTTACAATTTAGTTCGGCAACAGGATACAGTTCTTCAGTTGGAACAACTTTTCAAACACATTCACAGGCCCTTTGACCTTCAGCTTCATGGCTTAGGTCAGTGAATTATGATGTATATCCTGACTCTGACTCCTACAGTCCCCAGTAAACTTAGGCAAATGCTCCCTAGCTCGGACTGTCTGGGGCAGCAGTCCCAGGACAGCTCCATCTCATATTAGCCTCAGTTTCTCCACTGTGAATACTGCTGCTCTTCTGTAGGTCCCAGTCTGAATAGTAAAGGAATTCATGCCCCAAAAGATAAGAGTACATTCTTCTCCTCCTACTCTTCTTCTTCATCATCATTGTCATTGTCTTCTTCATCTCCTCCTCTTCTTCTTCCTCCTCCTTCTTTTTCTTATTCCTCCTCTTCTTCTTCCCTCTCCACTTCTTCCTCCTCTTTTCTTCTTCTCAAAGCTGAGAGTTCTGGATGTTCTGGGGCCATATCTGACCCTCTCACACAGATGTTCTGCTAAGCTTTTGAGTCACAAGAAGTTTCAGGAAGGATGAGGCCCTAAAGGGATTCTCAGAATCCAAGGAATGCTCCTAAATGTCTCCTCTACCTGTTGGCTGTGATGAGATCTTATCAGTTGATTCTTTGAGTTTCCAGGACAAATCTCCATTGAGTTTCAAGTCTATAAATCTTAATGGGAGCAGATCCCCTCATCTCCATCTTTTAGTTAATAATAGTCTAATGCTTAACCACAGCACAGCAGGGCTCAACTGTAGCAATGACCATCACTTAAGAATTCCTTGTTTGGAGCTGAGTCCACTACAATTCACAGCAGAATATAGTAGCCATAGTAGAAAGATGGTTCTGAACCTTGCCCTATCCTGGGCTATCCTTATAATCCCTGTTATACCTGAGCCCATTTTTACAGTCACTGTGTCAATCCACCTCCCTGAGGATCTTCTCTCTTTCACTGACTCTCCACCTTTCCAAAAATTGTGAAGTCTTTATCCAAGGAGTAGTTCCTCCTAACAGTATGCCCAATGTATAATATAACTTACTGGAAATCTATATTTGTTCCCATTGCAAAAAAAGGTGATCTGACAGAGTGCAAAAATTATCAATATCATTGACATCACATGCAAGCAAGATTCTGCTGAAGATTATCCCAAAATGACTGGAACAGCACATCAACAGAGAACTGCCTGAAGTGCAGGCTGGGTTTAGAAGAGGTCGTAATAATAGGGATATTATAGCTAATGTCAGATGGATCTTGGCTGAAAGCAGAAAGTACCAGAGGAATGTCTGTCTGTGTTTCATCAACTATGCAAAGGCATTTGACTTATTTGATCACTATAAACTATTCCTGACTCTGAGAAGAATGGGAATCCCAGAACACTTGATCGTACTAATGAGAAACCTATACTTGGACCAGGAGGCAGTCATCAGAATAAAGCAGGGAAACACTGCATAGTTCAAAATTGGGAAGAGTGTGTGCCATGGATGTATCCTGTCTCCATATCTTACCAATCACTCCAGGATGCTCTGGATTCGTCTTGTCTATTTCTCACTCAAGTGCTAGCTAGAATAAGCCATTTCTCGAAGAATCTCTTATTTAATTTTTTTTATTTTTATTATTAAATTTTATTAGTTTTAATGAACATTTACAGGGATTTTGGCTTTTCATTCCTTCATTGCTGCACCATTCTCTCTA